ACCCCATTGCACTGGCCCCCACCAACTGCCCCAGTCAGCTGCCCTGCTGATTTCCCCAACCCCACCTGGCCCTGCTACCTGCCTGGGCTAGTAAAGGCTGCAGGTCGAGGGGCAGGGACTCCCTGAAGGTCACATCAGGATTTGGGGGGTTAGTTTTGCACACAAAGTAATATGCTCCACTTTTGCTTGGTGCCAGCTCAACCAAGAGGGAGAGATTTGCTCTGGCCGGGTGTTGATTTGAGCTTCGTTCCTGTACATCAAAAGGTGTGGGTTCAATCCCCAGTCAGGGTGATGAGAGGCAACCAATTGATGTTCCTCTCTCACATCTATGTTTCTCTCTTCCTTCCCCTTTTTTCTAAAATCAATAAACATATCCTCACGTGAGGATAAAAAAAAAAAAACAGGTAGAGATTTGTGGGGAGGGCAGCTGGCAGAAGAGGGCAATTGAGGCAGATTTCTGGGTGAGACGCTGGGCTAGAAATCGCCCTCTGGGAATCCTCTCCAAACCGCAATTTCTGGATAACTGGTCTAAGAGGAGCAACGTCTTCAAGACAATGATGGGGCCAGACATGCTCTCTTGGCTTCTGATCCAGCCCCATCCTTTCTTGCACAGCAGTGAGGCTCTCCCAGGGGTCTAGGTTGAGCCCGAGACTCTGGGTCCATTTGGGAACGGCTGCCAAGGACCCGGGCACTGGGACAGGGCTAGGCCATCTGCCTGCATACCCCAAAGCTCTATCGCATCTGCACTGACGGCAAAGATGGGTCCACTGGGCAGCTGTCTAGCAGCCAGGGGGCTGCATGGGGTAGAGGGTGCCCAGGAGCGGGGATTAAATGTCCTGGTGATGCTGTCCCACAGAACAGGCATGGGTTGGAGCAGGTGGCTGGTGCAGCGGGAGCAACAAACTTTTGTCCCAGTTCCTGTTCATGCTGTGTGGCCTTGGGCAGTCCCATTCTTTCCCTGGCAAACTTTCCTGTCTTCCCACTGACCCTGAGGGGCACTCTCAGCATGGACAGCCTATGACTAACAATCACTCTGACTGAGTTTAGAGCTCCCCAAACTTGAGCCCTGCAGACTGTGCTGTAATTGTGACTCCCAGCTTGGGACCCTCCACTCTCACCTCCGGAAAACCAGTCATTTCCCCCTTGCCACCTGGCCCCTCCAGGTTTCAGGAAGTTCTGTTTGCAGCCCTAATGGAAGGGACACAGTGTCTTGGTCACAGGCACATACCGTGCAGGCGGCTTAGTAGAGCGAGCAGCTGGGAAGATGGGGCTGGCTAGGGGGCGATGTCTGGAGCCCCAGGGAATGGGGGCTGGGGTGGGTATCGCCCTGGAGCCAGCCTGAGTTGGGGATTTAGGGACTGAGGGAGTTCAGACATTCCCATCAACACTTGTCCCCAAGTTATGTCCCCAAGGCTGTGAGTCAAGGCTGCCCCTACTAGGGCCTGGGTACACTCAGCCCCAGGGCCTCTTTCTGGTGGGTGGTCTGGGCCTCTTGCCATCAGCCACAGCTCACCCTGAGCCTGCAGGGCCTGACACCACCCACACCACTGTCCCACATGGGTCTCCGCAAGGGCAACCTCAGCCTTGCAGGACCAGCTCCCTGTTCTCAACGGCTTCCCCCAGAGGACACCCCCTTATTAGTTGTTCTCCTCCCTCCACCTCAGCCTACTTGGAAAGATTTATATCTCCTGCATAAACTGTGCTTTTAAAGGAATAATTCATGTGCCTGTTTGTTATTAATCTAAGGGTGATCAGAACAAGGTCAGCGAGGCCCACCAAACTGCTGGAATTTCAGCCGAGAGCAGGTACTGTTCAGTCCA